AAAATTTCAGTGTGAAATTCACTAATAAGAAACTCTGAGAAATATAGAAACTGCATAATTCTAGATCCCATTTCCCTTCCACCCCATTTCCAAAATAGAGTTCTTGGTGTTCTTAGTCTTACTTTACATAAATTGCTTGCTGCATTACTTGGCCATGTGAAGGCTTTCTTTTTGGGTTGATTCTGTCTTTTCAGAGAAATAATTTTAGACCTTTGCTCTGGAGTTTTTAAGTCTCGTTAGATTTAAATGTAAACATTGGCCCTGAAGTAGCTTATGTTCTCCCAAAGACGCCTAGCATTGCCTTCGTTACTTCTTTGTTCATGGAAATTTGAATAAACCTTTTTCTTCAGAATTGTGTGGAAAATTTTATTAATACCTTTTATGTGTTCATAGAACAAAGTTTTTTTCACTATTATATTCTTAAGATGAGAAGTTGTTTTTATTGCAAAGAAAAAAGAAATATTTCCTTAAGAAACTGAAAACAGTAAATATTATTGTCCAGTAACTCATTAAAAGAGGTAATAAAATGACTTGATTTAAAGCATGTAAAACTTAAAACCATTGTCAGTGAAAATTCTCGAAGGCCATCCCTGCTACAGCCTCTGACTTAAGAAATCACACTGGAGCCTCAATTAGAAGTTTGAAAGCAGGTGCTATGAAATGACGTATCTGTGGTCTGTTAGGAATGGCATAATTTAAGAGTACTCATCAACCGTTCCATTCTGCAGGACCAATCTGACTATAACGTGTGACGTTTACATAGAGACCCCTGAGACGGGAGGTGTGTTCATTGCAGGAAGAGTAAACAAAGGTGGTATTTGGATTAGAAGTGCCAGAGGAGTTTTCTTTTGGATTTTTGCAAATGGCTCTTACAGAGTTACAGGTGATCTCGGTAAGTGACAAGTTTTACAGCATGTGACTTACTGTGTGATTATGTTACTTTGGGCATCTGCTTGTTATTTGTGGGAGCAATAAAAGAGTTTTCCCTGTAGGTGCTTGGGCATCTAATGGGAAGAAATTCAACACATGTAAGCAAATACCAAACAATTCAAAATTATAGAGAGTTATTTAATTCATATGGAAATGGGAAGCTCAGTAAAGGAGAAAATAACTGTACAAGCTTTTTAGGGTGTTGTAGAGTTGAGCTGGGCTGTGAGGGTAAGATTTGCATAGACTGGTGTGAGGCGGTGGTGCTAGGGAGAAAATGCTCAGGAAACACTGTAAATAAAAGCAGGGCTATAAGAATGTTGCTGTTATGCTTATGGAAATATCAGGAGTGGGATTGATCTGCTTAAAATGGAAAAATCTTATTTCCTAATTTAGTTCATATTTGAAAACAGCTTGACTTTTCTCATTCATCTTGACAGCTCTTGTGTTTGGTAGAACAGTATTTTATCCAGAATAGGTGCTTAGAATATGTTCAAGTTGAACTACATCCAGTTCACTTTGGTTTTGGGATGCGCCACCCCATTCAAAGTAGGTGTTACAGGTGGTGCCTCTTCTTGATTCTCAGTCTCTTGACTTTTGCATTGATAAAACGTCTCCCATTTATCATTTGCTGCCCTTTGCCTTGGCTCTGTAAATAAAATAAAAATTAAAGAGGGAGCAGGTAGTGAGGACATTAGAGTAGGAATTGTATATTTATAGCATTACCAATCTAGATGGTCCATCTCTGATTTCTCAGTGCAAAACAGAGAGGCAGAGAGGTTAATTGATTTTGCTCGATGTCTCAAAGCTAGTTAGTGGCAGAATTGGAACTAGGAATTTCAATCTGTATCTTTAGTCTAGTCTCCACTGTTCTGTGTTTTAAACTGCCTATTCAACATCTTATCCTGGGTTTCTCTTAGTAAATCTAAAAATTAACGTATTATTTTCTTCCTCTAATTGTAACTTAATTCTTTTACCATGTAACCAGTTAGTCTGGCTGGAAATCTTATGATAGTCTTTGACTTCTCCCTCTTATCATCCATATTCAATCCAATCAGATATAAACACATAGCTGAACTGTGGATGCTAACACATTATACTGTCTTGGTTTTTAAGTTTATTTCACTGCTTCTGTTGTGAGCTCATACATAGTATGGCTCAAGTACGATTTCAGTATAGGCTATTAAATGCATGACTAAATGAATGATGTTTTGGCTTAAATCAGTTGCAGATCAGGGAATGAAGGGGTGTAGTTCTTTACTAAGGTTGACTTTACTACATACAAATGCCACCTGAGAACCTCCACTGAGTTATATGATTCTGCAATTGAGATTTTAAAAATATATCAATTAGGATGATCTTTTTGTGTTACAGCAGGATGGATCATATATGCTTTAGGACGTGTTGAAGTTACAGCAAAAAAATGGTATACCCTCACGTTAACTATTAAGGTAAGTATTGCAGTCATAATGCCTGGAGGTAAAAATGTGCTTTTCTTGTACCTTTCTAGAACTTTCTCTTATAAAATGAGGGGGAGAATCTGCCATGGTACCAGTAAACCATCCATCCCTAGGATGATTATGTGTGTCAGGGTAACCCACATGAAAACCATCAGTAGTTGACTTTATAAGACTACTATTTTTAAAAATTTTGGTTTTGTTTTTTAAATTGAGGAGTAATTGGTAAAGTCAATAGTTGAACTATTTTTTTTAAACTTGCTTGAACCAACACTATCATTTGAGCTTATAGGTGTAAGCAAAGTCATAAATTTTTTTTTGCTGGTTAAGAATAATTTGGTTTTGAACGTTAAGCAGTTTCTTAGAAGTTGGTTTCCATGAATATTTTTGTTAGAGAAGATACCAGATTAATCTTAGTATATGGAAATCTAAAAATATTCATCAAAATCACTGGTTGATCATGAATTACCGATTGACAGTGCTTCCAAGGGATGCTGTGTAGAGAAATTCTTTTGTATAATATGCTGCTCTCTCCCAAGATAGTCCTCTCATAATTCTGTTTAGGTTGCACTAGAAATTAAAAGTGGACTTCAAGTAACTTTTGAGCAATTCTTCTTTCCTCCCACTCAATCACTAAAAATAACAGCACTGATGATTTAAGCATTAACAATATGTATTGAAGATCTGGTTTGGATGTAATGTAATTTCTTAGTGTAGTATGGTTAATACCACATTTAATGGGCATAACTTTTTTCCTAATTCTTCCCTTTTACTGTGAACTGAGACAGTAAGGGTTGAGTTTACTTGTTCATAAAGGAGAGAGATCTTAAGTGTGCTTCCTAGGGTGCCCATAAGATGCTGTTTGTTTAGGCAGATATTTAGAAGTGGAATTGCATTTTATTTTTTATTTTGTCAATATTTAAACTATTCTAATTGATCTTGATTTAATTTTTTTATTTCAAAATATTAAGGGGGTACAAATGTTTTTTGTTGCCTGCATTGCTTTTGTAATGCTTGAGTCATGGCTATAAGTGTGCCCATCACCCAAATAGTGTTCATTATACCCATTAGGTAGGTTTTCACCCATCCCCTCCACCCTCTTCCCCTCCACCTTCTTCCCCTCCTGCTTGATTCCCACTGAGTTTTACTTACCTCTATGCACATGTGTGCTCATCCGTTAGTTCCAATTTAATAGCAAATACATGTGGGATTTGTTTTTCCATTCTTTAGATACTTCACTTAAGACAGTGGTTTCCATTTCCATCTAAATTATTGCAAAAGGCATTAATTCACCATTTTTTTATGGCTGAGTAGTACTCCATGGTATACATATACCACATTTTGTTAATCCACTAATGAATTGATGGGCACTTGTGTTGATTCCACATGTTTGCAATTGTGAATCGTGCTGCAATAAACATTTGAGTGCAGGTGTATCTTTGATAAAATAACTTCTTTTCCTTTGGGTAGATACTCAATAGTGAGATTGCTGGATCGAATGATAGGACTACTTTTAGTTCTTTGAGGAATCTCCATACTGTTTTCCATAGAGGTTGTACTAATTTGCAGTCCCACCAACAATGTTAAGCATTCCTTTCTCTCTGCATCCACACCAGCATCTACTGTTTTTGGACTTTTTAATAAAAGCCATTCTAACAGGGGTAAGGCGATAGCTCATTGCGGTTTTAATTTGCATTTCCCTGATGATTAGGGACATTGAGCATTTTTTCATATGTTTATTGGCCATTTGTCTGTCTTCTTTTGAAAAGTTTCTGGGATATTGGTCTGTAGTTTTCCTTTTTTGTTGTGTCCTTTCCTGGCTTTGGTATCAAGGTGATACTGGCTTCATAGAATGAATTGGGAAGGATTCCCTTCTTGAGGTTATGGAATAATTTCTGCAGTATGGGTACCAGCTCTTCTTTGTAGCTCTGGTAAAATTCAGCTGTGAATCCATCTGGTCTGGGGGTTTTTTTGTTAGAAGATTTTTTATTATTGCTTTTATCTCGCTGCTCATTATTGGTCTGTTCAGGAGTTGATTAAATTCAAAAGCTAAGGAAACAATCAGCAGAGCAGACAGACAACCTACAGAATGGGAGGAAGTATTCATAAGCTATATATCCTATAAAGAACTAATAACCAGAATCTACAAAGAACTTAAGCAAATCAAGAAAAAAAAACAATAAACCCGTTAAAAAGTGGACAAAAGACATGAACTATGAAGATAGAGGCAAGAATGCTCAGTAAAATACTAGCAAACTGAATTCAATAGCACATCAGAAAAATATTCCACCACTACCAAGTAGGCTTCATCCCAGGGATGCAAGGATGGTTCAACATACGTAAATAAATAAATGTGATTCACCACATAAACAGAAACAAAAACAAAGACCATATGATCATCTCAGTAGATACAGAAAAAGCATTGAATAAAATCTAGCACCCTTTCATGATAAAAACCCTCAACAAATTAGGCATAAAGAATATTACTCAAAATTATAAAAGCCATATATGATAAAACCATAGCCAACATCGTACTGAATGGGGAAAAGTTGAAAGTTCCCCTTAAGAGCTGGAACAAGACAAGGGTGACCACTGTTACCGCTTCTATTCAACATAGTGCTAGAGGTCCCTCCCTAGCCAGAGCAATCAGGCAAGAGAAAGAAGTAAAGGGTATCCAAATTAGGAAAGAGGAGCCAAACTATCAGTTTTCGCTGATGATATGATCTTATATCTAGAAAATCTCAAAAACTCTATGAGGAGACTCCTGGAATTGATAAATAAATTCATCAAAGTCTCAGGTCGCAAAATCAATGTACATAAATCAGTAGCATTTCTATACACCAATAGCAGTCAAGATGACAGTCAAAGAAAAAACTCAATACCATTCACAATAGCTACAAAGAAAATAAAATACCTTGAAATATACTTAGCCAAGGAGGTGAAAGATCTCCACAAAGAGAACTATGAAACACTGAGGAAAGAAATTACAGATGACACAAACAAATGGAAGAAACACATCATGCTCATGAATCAGTAGAATCAACATTGTTAAAATGTCCATACTACCCAAAATGACTTACAGATTCAATGCAATCCCCATCAAAATAACAACATCGTATTCCACAGAGCTAGAAAAAATAATTCTACACTTTTTTTTTTGGAATCAGAAAAAAGCCTGAGTAGCCAAAGCAATCTTAAGCAAAGAGAACAAATCCGGAGGCATCACATTACCAAACTATACTACAAGGCTATAGTAACCAAAACAGCATGGTATTGGCACAAAAATACAAACATAGACGAATGGAACAAAACAGAGAACCCAGTTATAAAACCATTCACATATAGCCAACTGATCTTTGACAAAGCAGACAACAATATACATTGGGGGAAAAGAAGCCCAATTCAATAAACCGTGCTGAGAAAATTGGATAGCCACATGCAGAAGAATGAAATAGGATCTATTTCTCTCACCACTCACAAAAGTTAATTCAAGATGGATAAAAGACTTAACTGTAAGGCATGAAACCATAAGAATTCTAGAAGAAAATATAGGAAAAACTCTTCTAGATATCCACCTAGGCAAAGAATTTATGACTAAGACCTCAACAGCAATTACAGCAACAAGAAAAATAAATAAACAGGATTGCATTTGAAATTTTAACAGATATTGACATATTGCTAGCCAAACTGTACAAATTTTTATAGC